AGCAAAATCTGCCTCTGAGCCAGAAAAAATGGGTCCATCAACACAGTGTAGTTAAACTGAATTCTTATATCGTTTATTCTCAAGCAGGACTTCATTCTTTGAGGCTATTGTGATCATTAAGCTTGACTTCTAAGCTGATGGGCAGGTTTGGGGTGTGACTCTCCAGTTGGGGTTTTGGGTTTTTTTTAATAAATTTTTGTGCTGGAGAGAATCTTCAAAGCCACTTGTAGTAACTTCCTGGAAGAGTTACTCAGCCTGTCTTCCCAATTAAGTTAGAAGCAGTGATGGTCTCAAGGCACTCCTCACTCTGTTTTATGTTAGCATTTAGCAATCCTGCAGCATATTCCTTATACGTGGTATCCAGTTCTAGGATCCTGGTAACGGCGTCAGACAACGTTGCAGGATTCAGAATGAGCCGTGCTTTTCCAGAAGCCAAGTGCTGTGTGCGTAAGGAAATCACACGTGCTTTCCTCTTCTGTTAACAGGTGCCAAACAAAAGGAGAATGAAAGTGAATGACTGCTGTGAATGTATACACGTTTGTAGGAGAACCTGAACAAAGTTTCTGGGTCAAGTTTGTCTCGAGAACAGTGACTGCAATAGAACAGAGCAGGATGGTTGAGAATGTGAATTGGGACTTAGTGATGGATGATGAGTCTATTCCCCCCAGTGATGTCGCAAAAAAAAAAAGCAGCATGACAAAAGCTTATGTTAAAATGTAGGCTTGTATTTCAAAATGTCTTCAAAACATTTGCTGGAAGACTTCACATGATGTCCTTCATTAAAATGCACTGTATTCTGAACCTTTTTCCATTTTGTATTTGACAGAAGTCACTGGTCAGCAATGGATATATGTGACATAAGGCAAGTGTATGGCATATTCATATCATAGTGCCTTATGTCAAAATACAGCAATATGTCATCACTGTTGCCCATCACTGTCAAAGGAAGTATTGTGCTAAACGAGACACTGTATTTGAATGTGAAAGTCTTTAAACCTAAAACCAAATCAGTTTCAGTTCTCATTAGATTTGTCATAAAAGCTGTACTTTGAATATCGGTAGACTTCTTTAAAATTTTAATGACAGTTTTGTGTTAAATGTTGCATTCTGAACTGAGATGTAAAACAAGACTGATTTTAAAACCAGCTTTATTTATTTTTACTTTCATGACAATTTTTTACACATCCTTGGTGGATAGCTAAAATTTCACCATATCCATTAATAAACTGTTGATTGTTATACAAACAAGTGGTAGATTTTTCTCATTATTTAAAACTTTGGAGTTGCAGAAGCTGTGGCCTGTTGATCAGTCCATATTACTTGAGCTGAAGATTCCAGAAGCGTGGATCAAAAGTGCTCTGTACTGTAATACACGGGCACCACGGAGGAAATGAGGTGTCAGAGAACAATATTTTCACGTGTATTAAAGTGTAAAATGATGTTTGTCAACACAACCAAAACTTTTTATTGTATATCATTTGTACAGAAGTGGAGGAATGAGGAAAGCTGTGGGGTATTTGCTAATGTAAATGTACTGTAAAGTTTGAAGATGAGACTTTTATACTTGTAGATTCTTGTAGATGGAAGAAATTAAACCCTACAACATCAGTTTGTTTTTAGCAGTTCTTGCGAAGTTCTTTTGCAGGGTCTGGTGCTGATTGCTGCCATCAGAGATTACATCAGCACAGCTCTGATGATCTTTGTTGGGGAGATGGAGCCATAGAAACTAAAAATAGTGGCTCTTGTTCTTTGTGGAGTGTGTGGAGGGGATAATTAGTGGTAGATGAGAAGTTTGTATTAAGGGTAAGTGGTCAGCAGCGCTCCCTGCAAATGCCACTCGTGCTGCACAGTGCAGCTTTGTGAAAGCACAGGTACTGCTCCAGCACCTGCACTGGAGCCTCCTCTAGAAGGTGGGAGGCCAGGGAGGTGCCCAAATACATCTCTACCTATCACTGGTCTGCACGAGCATGTTCTTCAGCCCTGTATTTGGGGTATTTTTGAAGATGATTAAGAGTTGAGCCAATGATAATGAGGTTTTTCTAATAGTTTCTTTTTTTAGTGCAAAGTCTTTTGGCCCCGTTCCATGCAGACAGCTTTGGGCCTGTCTGCACACATTAGTATGCAGAAAGCCAGAATGAATTTGCAGTTTTGGAACAAGCGTGTACAGACTTCCTATTTTAACATTATTGCAAGTGCTGTTGACGTGTTGTGGACACAGGACTAGCAAGATTATGGAAAGCAGCCTCCTCAGTGATACAAAACTGTATTTGGAGAATTTCTACCCTTCCTTTCTGGAATTCAGTCCTGAATTTTGAATTTCTGAGAAGTAGAATTGCATGAATAAACAGCAGTGCTGTCAGAAAGGCACAAGAACCAGTGCTGATGCAGTAAACAAAGCTAAAGAAGTCGTGTCGCTTTTATTACAGATCAGTTTACTACAGAGCTAGAAAAATGCTTGTTCCAACATAAGGGAGGGACGGGAATAAGTAAATGAGGGTAGAGAAAGGAGTGAGTCAGCAGTGCTGCGTGTACCCGATTAAAGTGAGTGCAACTCAAGCTTTGATCTCGGACTCTTCACGTGGCTGTGAGAGGCCTCAGCCGTGGAAGAGAATGAACAAAATGCCATTAAACTCAAGTTCTTGCCCATTTCTTTTCTCTGGACTGGCAGCACGCAGTTTCCTGTAGATCTGAGACCGCAGCAATGGTTCCAGGTGCTCCCTTTCCTTCCACAGCCAGGGCCACGGGGCAAATGGAGATGGCAGGAAGCTTCCGCGGCGCCTCAGCTGAAAGGCTGTTCCAGCGCGTCGATGCTCTGTCCTGAGGATGGGAGATGCTGTAGCAGTGGATTCTATTTTAACCGCAGGACTGTGAAACACATAATTGATTTCTGCGCTTCCCTGTGCCATTTCCTTGCCCAGCAGGAGATGTCTCTGCAAGATAACTATTCTAAAGTGCTTCTTGGTCTTGCAAGGGAGCAGATTAAGTTTGGTTTTTCACCTACTCTGGATATTTTTAGCTGCTGAGGTGTAAGAAAATGTTTCTTAGCATATTTTTCAGTAGCTAGAGATGCTGTGAACTAACTTAGAAAAATTATCCTTTGCTGACACTGATCCCTTGACTGATGAAAACATTTTCCTGTTTTATTTTTTGAATCCTTTTGGTTAAAAGGTCTGAGATCTTTGAGCCCCCACACAGTATTTGCTGTTTACTAGGAACTGAACTGCAATTGCTGTGTATCTGAGGCCTAGTCATCATCTTTTACTAAGGAATATTCTTCTTCTGGGAGTGTTTGGGTAACACAGAAAGAACCAGCCTCACTTTCCAAGGCCCAAGCTCTTGTCCTCACAGCCGACAAGAGGAATCCGAGTGAAGTGGTTCCAAGACCACACATCGCTTTGAGAACACTCCTTGCCATCTTCTGAGAGAGCAGAGGGTAAGTTGGAGTCTTTCGGCTTTGGTCCCACTAGAAGTGAAACCACAGTGCTCAGTGCTGTCAACACAGTTGGCTGTTTGACTCTTCAGTCAGTTTTGGAAGCTAGCTTACTTCAAAAGCTTCTGTGAACTCTGACCCCTTGTGCTCCCGTATTGAACACTTATTAGGGGTAATTTCCAGAAGAAAATGTCATTCTGAATAATTTAATGCTACCCTTGTATCCTCATAATGCCGAGTATGCAAAAAAGAATGTTCTGCAGACACTGCTCTTTACTCTTTAGGTCTTAATTTAAATGTGGTTCTGAAAGTCACTTTCCGAGTCCCCATTTGCTGTATGATGGTGGCAGTCAGGCCTGTTCCCGCTGAAGTGAATGGCACAGGAGGTGACAGGTATTCCTATATCCACCTCATTCCTTTAGAAAAAAAAGGATCTCTGAGCATGTCCCTGCCAGCCGCACGCCAGGACCTGCACAGCATTAGACCCCGCAAACTGAATTAGTTCCTTAATTTGATTCTATGTAGGATTTTGCCAGTTTCTGACTGAACGTTGGAAAATGTAATCGTTGTGAAAATGCAGGAGGGAGTAAGAACAAGTGTAAGATTGAAGTGAGTGTACTCTGTAAGCTCTGCGGGCAGCAGTGTGTGTGTAAGCGTATCCAATGCAAACACTGGACGCTGCAAAGAACTCCTGGGGAAGGTCCTGATTTGCCAAAGGACAGAGCAGGTAATTACACTGCTAATTGCTGGTACAGGAGCTGACTGTATCAGTCAGAGCTGTTCTGCATTTGGACTCGCAGTAGCAGCGTGTCCGTGGGTTTGTGTGTACTGTATTATCATAAAAATACCTGACTGGTGAGTTACGTTTACCCCATGAAATCCATCCCCGTTTCTCCTGGATCGTGGCTTTTCCTCCATCACAGCAAAGCAGATATAGGCAACGAAAGACGCGTTCCCTTTCTCAGCCTCCCTCAACGTCTGTCCCTGACTGCATGGCACACACGTGCTCTGGTGGTGCTTGCAGCTCTCTCTTGTGGTGTTCTCTCTTTTTCAGAACCTGGGCCATAGCTAACACGTTGCATTCATTAACTGGGGCTGTTGTTACATCATTTACAATAAAATTAATGTAACTTATCACCTGAACTGATACCCCTTCAAATCAAACGTGGCCCTCGTATCTGGTGAGGTGTGATATAAGGCAGGCCTGGCATACAGCCAGTGCATAGGTGTGTGGTGTACGTCACTTGTCCCAGAGTTCTCCAAACTCCTTTGTTGATACGGAGAAGCTGGAGTAGGACCAGGGAATGCTATGGAATGTTCCACCCCGAAATCACAACCTGAACATCATCACCCTTAGATTGGCAGAGGAGAATTTCAGCAAAGGGCCACTTGGTCAGTGTGTGAAGCTGTTCAGCCCTAGATACATAAACAGTAAGAGTTCAGATAAAGCGCAGTGCCCTGATGAGACACGTGTGACAGGCTTCACTGCCACAGGTGTGCTCTCCCTCTGCACCAGAGCACTCCAGGAACCATTTAAGATACACCTGGGCAGGAGAAATGCAATGACAGCCTTATCACCATCCAGATCATCTCAGCTCTGCTTAAGCTGCTGCCACTTGAGTAGCGGTATCCCAGAGCGCTCTCTAAGGCCACTCAGCACTATCACCAGGTCCTAGAGTGTGGAGAAATGGCAAAAGTTCCCTGAAAGCTCTCTACTTGCCTGTATTTTGAGTATCCTGCTCAACACAGAATGAAACACTGAGGTGATCCTGATGGAATAAGGATTATTGCAATTACAGTCAGTAAATAAAGCAGCTGAAGGGCAGGAGCAGAAACCCTGCAGTAGTGAGCATGTAAATGAGTGAACAAGTGCAAGTTAACAGGAACAAGATAAATAAACAGGCAAGGGTGCAAAAGGTGAGTGCAGTAAGAAAAAAGAGCATGGGAAAAGACCTAATCATGAAAAGGGGGGTATCAAGGAGGGAGCAAAACCAGAAACTCTCGGAAATAATAAAATATTGGTGCTCACCCCTCCCTGCTCTGAGCTTGTGGAAAGATCTGAATGTCGATGAGGTTTCAGCAGAGGGCAAAGTACAGTGCCTAAAGAAAACACACCAAGTACTGAGAACTGTAAGGACATGGAAGTTGAAAGCGTAACTACCACAAACTTCACGTGTGTTTCCAAATCCATTTATGTCACTGGAAGGTAACTTATCTCAGTTCCTTCAGTCCTCTGCTTCAGTAAATAGCCCAAATTTTTGGGCCATGCCATGGTTCCAGAAGGAGCAAGTCCAGAGATGACAGCACAGCTGCAGAGCTACTCAAGGGATGTTCCTGCAGGATTACAGCTACTGGGATCTTCATGTCTTGTTTAAAAAGATTTATGTCCTTTAAAACATGCAAGGCAAAAAGGAAAAGAGTGTTCTGCATCGGGCAGGACTGTCCCTCCACACCCCACAGGGAGCTGTGAACAAGCCCACTCTGGTCACAAAGGCAGGATTTCTAAATGCTGCTCTTTCTTCAACCCCACCAAATCCATCTGTGCAGTAGGATCACACCGATCTCTGTGGTGCAGTACTCCCGAGCTGTGACAGAGTGGGAACTGTACTGCAGCGAGGGGGAAACTGGACACGGAGAGAGCATGCAGAATGACATCCACCACAGCCTTCACTGACAAAGTACAGAAACCCCACTTTCTCGTGAAATAACTCTTTTCATCACGTACCTATTTGCTAAAGGCCGTCACACCTGCTGTTTCACAGTTACCAGTACTGAGCCTTCAAGATCCTCTAACCCAGAAGATGAAAGGTACCACCAGACTATGCCAAACAATGCAGATACCTCCTTAAAGCTTATCAATGCTTCTTCAGAAGCAAATTGTGTTTCTGTATAAATAGCTTTCTTCTGCTTTACCCCTCAGCCCTCTTCTCAGCTTAGATAAATGTTAGTACATAAGAATGAATGACTGAGATCAGGGAGGAGAAGAAAGCCCATCTCCCTTAACATCATCAAGCTGTTAGGATGGATTAGTTGTATCAATTATTTGTACCCTAGCATAACTTCGTGTTAGCTATATATCACAAAAAAAAGACAAGATGCACAATGCAAACATGATCATTACTTCTAAATAATGTTCATTTTTTTAATAAAGTGTGGAATGGGTAAATATCACCAAAAA